GGGTTGAGGGGGGTTTTTTGATGAGAAAAAAAATTACAATCATCATCATTTTTCTGTGCAAGGTCTTTAAAGAGCAAATAGAAAGATATTCAGAGCCCATATTTATTTTCCCTAAGTGGTATTTATTTAAATGCAGATATCCTGGTTTCCCCGTGTAGAGTTGCAAGCAATACCTTTCAATTTAAATGTTAATAGGAGTGTAAACTTCAAAATCAAAATTTTTCTGTGAGGGAGACCTGCTTTTTCTGGTTCTATTTAATGGTACCCCTTGCCTTTCATCCTCCATCCCCCCTCACTATCCACCCCCTTTTGCACACCATTTCCACTGTGCTGAACTAAATTCTTTTTCTAAAAAGTTGAGAATGCACCTTTCTCATTTCAAAACTTAGAATGTTAAGCATTCGGATCATGGAATACAGATGATGGGCTCGAACCCAGTAGGATTCATGAGATTTTTCTTTATCTCAGCTTTGGCCCTCAGAGTCCAACTCATCATCCCGGGCTCTTTCTAAGGGGATTTTTCTTAGGTCCACCCTGCATAATATTTTCACAAGGCTTCAGATACATGAGTTGGGTTTTCTTTCTTTTCTAAGAAGGCAGGAAGAAATGGGGAATGTAATACAAGCTATGTTAAGTTCCTGGATGCAAAATCCAACCCTTCACAGAGAGTGAAACAGGCAGTCTCTTACTCCCGAGGAGAGGAAGTAGGCACACAGGGCAATGCAGATGGGCAGGAATGAGGCCTTCGTCAGCACCTGGATCATTCCACAGGCAGAGCGGCAAATGGGATTGACTCAAGTGCAAACAGGAAACAACAAAGATTTCAAGACAATGGAAATCATGTGTACTACCTTTCAATTCAGGTACAGCAAGCATCATGTCCTTCCTAAGGACCTCCCACATGCATGTGAGATCCAGCTGCTTCTTCCCTTTATTTTCTGTTCCCTTCATTTTCTCATTATTTTTATCCTGCTACACCGTGTGTGTCCTGTAAGCCTCCTTACATCTTTTTTTAGGAACATGATAGCCTGTTAATACATAAATTAGAATCGATTTTATAATACAAATTTCAGTGACTTTGACTCCGCTATTTGAAGGGGTTGGTTTTGTTCTCCAGATGTTTTCAATAGACTCCTGTTCTTATTTCATGGAGACAAAATACGTTTCGTGTCTTGCCTCTCTGGGAATATTAATAATAATTTTGAATTGTTGCCTCTTCTCTCTGTGGCTTGTTTCCTCAAGTTCTTTGGCGCCCAGGTTATAGGTACTGGATTGTCAGGGGGCGGGGCCAGAGCGCTGCCTGGAAGCACTGGGTTGGGGGGGGCTTGTCAATGGGAAGCTCCATGGTAGAATGGTGGGATGGGCTGCCTGTGGGGCTCCCCCAGTGCTGGGTACCTAGGTCTTTCCTCCTGTGCTGGTCATCACTGGAAAGACCTCTCCCGGTCCCCGGATTAGATGGCAGAAGCCAGGCAGTCAGCATGTGGGGGCTGAGTAGAAGGGGGCCAGGGTCCCAGGGGCAAGCATTCAACATTCTATATGTGAACGGTCACTTAATCACCTACGAAGAATGAGCCTCGCTGAGCTTGTCAACCGCAGTGCTAGGTACCCCTACTCTACCTCCCTGGGGAGGGGGGGCAGGGAGACCCCAGCGTTGTGGGGTGGGTGAGGGAATCAAGGGATCTAGTTCCATCTCACATGGCTTCCACCAAATCCTGGTTGTTTATGCTCCTCCCCTCTGGGTAACTAATGGCCTGATCCAGAAGAACCTGAGGCTGCCCCTTCATGGGTCTCTGGGCACTGCGGTGGGTTGGTTTGCAGCTTGCCCGCAGCTGCATCTAGTTTGGCTCTAGCCAAGTGCACCGTCCACCGGCTTTGCCGCTTCTGGTCCTGGGTTGTTTCCTGTCGTGCTTGCCCATCCTTGTGGATGCCTATCTTTGGGAAAAAAAAAAAAAAATCACGGAATCATAGTTCTCAGCGTATTTGGGAGGAAGAAATGCTCGATATATTTGTTCAATCGCCATGACAACCCAGTAGGTCTTTAACTGCATTACTAATTTTATTTTCCCACACAACTCACTCCTCCTTTATGTCACTGGTTTGTCGATAAATTATTTAACTTCTTTGGATCTTGCTTTCCTTGTCTGGAAGATAGGACTATTTCTTGTCCTGTATCCCTTGCAAGCTGTTGCGGTGGCTGCACTGAATTACTACATAGGTCCGAGGACAAGATACCCAACCACACATGCATGGCTCTGCAAAATCAGCTTCATGGGGTGACGGTAAAAATCCTCCCGGCCAGTGAAAATATTTGGGCCTGACCTCTGGTCTTCATCCTGCTTTCCAGATCAACAACTTAGCCCAGCCCTCAGCTTTTGCTGACAAAGTGCCCCTAATCTGTGCCCGAGGACCACAGCCCCACTCAGACTTGGGACACAGGTGACGGTTCCCTGTCTCAGAACTTTTGCAAGAGAAATTATCTTCTTCATGCCCCTGCCTCTCTGCCTTTCCTCTTAAGTCCTAGACTTGGCTTTCCTCTGCAACCATGATGACCTTCCCACTTCCTCCAATTGCATTTCCTTTTCCTGTCCCGCACCTTTTGTCCATTCCAGGCCCAAGGGCACACATCCTACAGGACACATTGTCCACGTAATCCCCCAGGCAGTACCTTTGCTCCCATGGGTCTGCAGAGCCTGAAGATCAGGAAGGCCTTCCCATGAGCAAGGCCAAGTGCAGTGGTTGGTGGGGGGGGTTCTCTGGCTTCAGCGATGTTGTCTATCCAGGGCTGCCAAAGGCGCCAAGATTTGAGAAGCCCCTCATGCACTGAAAAGGGAATCAGTGGTCTCACAGGGGCAGAGAACGAAATTTCCTGATCTGTTTAAGGGGGGTATGAACTTACTTTATTCCAAAAATACCCTGACCTCTCCTTCCCCACTCCCGCCGCCTCCTTGCCCTTGACTACAGTGGAGAGTGGATGAAGCATTGCCAGGGGTCAGCCCAGATGGACTCACACATCAATGGGGGGTTTCTTCTCCACCAAGGAGGCAGCTCGGGCCTGGCTCACTCAAAGGACCATGGGTGGCGGCGAAGGAAGAAGGGCTGAGGAGGTGGCAGCAGAACCGTGTGGGGAGATGGGGGCCAGCACTACCACGGTGGTTAGCTCCCAGGCTAAGTGCCTGTGCGCCTGGAAAGACTGCACCTCTCCTTTCCAGCGGGCTGTGGGTGCCTGAGCATGGCAGCAGGGAGCCAGGCCGGGAAGCTTCCCGGCCACATCGGCGATCAGTGCGATCTGCGTAGTGTGGCATGGTAATTGCATGGTAATTAGGCAGCCCTGGCAGTTCCCATCAGTGACTGTAATGGGTATTATGTCTCCCTGGCCAGGACAGGCATTCCGGGCTGGGAGGCGAGGACCGAGGAGAGCAGCTAGGACAGGAACCTGGATGGATTCTGTGGATGAGATCCGTGGCAGAAGTCCGTGGATGGATTTCTGCCTCTGCCACAGGGTCCTGTCCTGCTTCCCATCCGGGCTGTTCTCCTTTGCCCCCCACCCTACACCCCAGCCAACTCCTCCTGGGAGGGGAGGGTTTGCCAGCGTCTCATCGTCCTTGTCAGGTCAAGGAGCGTGCACCTTCCGAGGGGAGAAGGCTGAGAGTTCTCTAGCCTAACTGTGCCGGGGTCTGCCATGGCTCCCGATGGGGATGACTGGAGTGGGAGAGGAACAGAGCAGATGGGACGCCCTCAGGGTCTGCAGAAACCTGCCGGGGACTTGTGAGGGATGAGATGAGATTGACCCGGGCTCCCCTGGGGTGTGGATGTATGTAGTTTGTTGTCGGGTGCCCTCCCCTCTACCCTCACTCTCACTCCCTCCTGTTGAGGGAAGGGAATGCCCATGGGGTCCTACAGGCTGCTCAGGCAAGCCCCTGGGCGCAGAGGCAGGGCAGGTGGCTTGCTCCTATTTAGCCCCATTGGCAGGACTGGGGCTGGCGGATGGGCTCCGCATGGACCACAGAGGTGGACAGGGAGCTGCAGGCCAGTGGGCACTGGGGCAGGGTGGGGGGAGTCAAGGACAAGCAGCTAGGGTGTTACCCAGAAGGAGGTAAGAAGGCTGGATGCCAGGGAGGGCGTGGGAGGCTGGTGGGGGCACGCAGTGGAGGGCAGTCGAGAGAGCCAAGGGCAAGGTGCTGAGTGAGGGAGGCTGAGATGTGAGAGCAGCTCTGCCCTCGCGCTTCCACTAAAAATACTGCCTTTCTACACAGCCCTTCTCCTGCCTGTACCCACGTCGGCTTTGTATGGTGGAGTCAGTGAGGCGTGGGACGGGGAAAGGCCAGACACAGAAAGCTGGGCCGACCTGGGTCCTGGGAGCAGAAGAGGCCTGCCCAGGGGCTCCGTGTGAGAGCAGGACGTGTGGCTCCCCACCTGCAGCCCCACATGCAGGGAAAGCTGAGCCCCTGGGAGCCCAGTCAACCCTGGAGGGAAGGGAGGGAGCTCCTGGCAGGTGCAGCCAGCCCGCCAAGACCTCGCCTTCCTCCAAAGGCCCATTTCTCCCCGAGATGTGGATGGTGCCCAGAAGGAGGTAAGAAAGGTAGCGCCCAGGAACCACACAGATCTGGGCTTGATGCCCTGTTCTGCCACTCGTTAGCTGTATGGCCTTCAGCAGTTCACTCCATTTTTCAAATAGGGATAAAGACAGTACCTGTCTCAAATGGTTGAGCCAGATGCTTGGGAAGGACAGTGCTAGTGAAGGACCTGGCACCAAGGAAGTGCATAAGAAATGACACCAGATGATGACGATCTCCCCGATGCTTATGAACCCAGCTGTCCTAGCCTGCTTTTTGCACCCGAGGATAGCTGCCATCGGGGGCGCTCTCCTCTACAAAGGGAGCTCAGTTGTCTGAGAAGGGTAGGTTGCCTTCCTGCTCCCCACTTCTGCCCAGGGCCAGGATGCACCTTGACCCTGAGTTCTAGGTTCTGAAGCTGACTTCTGTCCCCCTGCTTCCCCACAGACCTGCGCAGGATGACAGCCGGCTTCATGGGCATGGCGGTGGCCATCATTCTCTTCGGCTGGATCATCGGCGTGCTGGGCTGCTGCTGGGACCGAGGCCTTATGCAGTATGTGGCAGGGCTTCTCTTCCTCATGGGAGGTAAGGCCGCAGGCTTGGGGGCCTCTTGGGGGGCAAAAGTCCTGGCTCCTGGGATTCTGGGAGAATGGCCAGGGGACATTCATTCGTTCATTCATCAAACGTTTTTTGAGTTCCTCATAGCCATCTGCCACTGTTCCAGCTTCTGGGGATGCAAAGGCTAATAAGATCTGGTCCTTCACTTTCGGGGGTCTGACAGCCTGGTGTGGGAAAGATGTTGTGGCCACGTTGCGGAGAGAAGTATCAGACCCAGAGAAAGCACGAACTCAGAAAATGCCCCGGCATTTTATGCACATATTGGACTTAGTGGGGTGGGGGAGGGAAGCTGGGCAATTTCCTTTTCAGAAGCCTATCTTCACCCTTGATTTATGAGTCCTCAGTGCTGCTACCATTTCCAAATAAGGCAGTCTAAGGGTGGTAGACAGAGCTAGACCTTCTCTTATATCTGTCCCCCTTATTCTCTGCTGGTGTCACGGTCACTAAACTGGTCCAGCATCCCTGTAAAGGGTTATAGATACAGAGAACTGTATGGCTAGGCAGAAATAGGTTCCAGTCCACGGGAAGTCAAGTTGGTCCACACACTGCGTGCGCCTCTTCCCTGCAATCTCGGTCTGGAGCTGAAGCTCACCCTCAGGTCTACTCCGCAAGGAGAAGTGGGTTGGTGCACCGCGTGGAGCTGGGTGGAGGGGAGCTGGGCTTGGACAGTGGGAATTGGTTGTATTTATGGGAAGACAGGAAAGTGAGTCCTCCATATGCAAACAATGTCTGTTAGACTTTAGGCGCCACATGCTTATTATGGCCAGCTCGGGTCCTCTTTTGTGAAGTGCCTGATGCAGGGGTTCTGGGCAGAGATGGGAGCCTGCAGAAAGGTGGCTACTGTCTCTGGCTGCGCGGAGAGACGCCTGAGGGCCAGTGAGCCAGAGGTTGGCAGAGGAGGAGAATTGCGGGATTCGTCCTGGGGCCGACTGTTTGCCCCCATACCCCTGACGCACAGCCATCATGTGCCAGAGACAAGATGAGGCTTTCCAGGCTGACTGAGCCCGGTGCCCCAGAGTCAGATGTCCCACGCCTGCGGTCCTGGATGGGGGAGCGAGGAGGGCTCTCTAGTGGCCCCTACACCCCGCCTCCTGGTCTCCCTCAGATACAGGCCCATAGGACCTGCCCATCCTTTGTCCGTGCCCCGTGTCCTCCGTGAAGCAAAGCCTGGACTCAGCCCTGACCTCTGCACTCTGTTTTAGCCAACGGTGGAGACATTTTTGTTTTCACCCTCCAATCAAAGTCTCCCACAGACCCTGAAACGTAAAAAGATAAAAGCGGAGTGGCTCTGTTTGTAGTGAGCGTTCCCTCTAAGATGCTTTCGGTGATACAGAGACAAGCTCCAGTAAATGGGCTTTTCTAAGGCTCTAGAAAGGTCTCCCAGGAAACGGAGAAAAGCTGAGCAAACAGGCCTCGGGCAGAGCAGGAATCCTCGAGCTCTGGGAGCTGACCCTCTTTCATCCCTGCCGTCTCGAGGTGTTTGCAGCTCCCTGCACGCGCGCCCCTCTCTCCAGGTCCCGAGCAAGGCTCACAGCCAGCCCAGGTGCTAAGCCTCCAGGACCTTTCAACCCTCCTGACAGCTTCCTTCTGGGTGGCTCAAGTCAGCTTCCAGAGAGACCGAAGAAGAATGTGATTGGCCACCTCTGGCCGGATCACACACCATCGGCCAGGCAGTAAGCGGGCCAGAACTGAGTGACCAGGGCTGGGCCCACAGCTGTGAGCAGCGTGGGGTCAGGGGCCCTTCCTGCTCACCTGGGACCATGGGTGGGAACTCTCTCTGAAGGAGGTGTGGGGGCCTGGAGCCCTGCGCACAACCAGCAGGCCCCGGGCTCTGGGGCCACTGTCTGAAAGCTTTGACTGATTAGAGATCAGAGGCCCCGCCCTACAGGGTGCATGAGCAGGTGCGTGGCTCACCTTTTGCCTCCGTCACGCTCCTCGGTCACTGCACACACCAGGCACCTGAAGAGCTCTTAAAAATACTGATGCTGGGCTCTCACCCCAAAGCAGTCCCAGCAGGACTTCTGGAGGTGATCCCATGTGTAGGCAGGGGTGAGAACCTGTGAAATAGCTGAACTTTAAAGTTCTCTCCAGTGGTAAAATGTTATGCTTCTAGGGGTGAACCGGTTGGCCAAGACCTTTCATGATTTGCTTGTTTTTCCCTCCAGTCTCCCACCTCTTACGACTATTTCTCAAAGGCCTCTGCAGCAAGAGATAGGCAAGTGCTATAACAGGGCTTCGGTTACTGCTGCGCGGACCTCTCCGAGCCCTGGTTACTGAGGGGCTCAGCGAAATCCGCTTTCTAGGACGTGCACTGTATTTTTTTTTTATGGCAAAATCATAGTTCATGTTAAAATGTTAGCACCAAGAAGAGGCTTGGAGAAGTTGCTGTTCTAAGAGCTGTTTCTTGCTGACTGGGGCACTGTCCTGGTCGGAGCTAACCCATTCCGTCCACCCTGGAGCTTTGTTCCCTGTGTCCATAGGTAGGGTCATCGCCTCCCGAAAGAGGCTGGGGAGAGCACAGTGTCCACACACCTCATGGCGCCGTCAGGCCAGGCTCCGACAGAGGGGAACAGGGACAGAGCCACGAAGGGCTGATCTCTTGAACGGGGGTCTTTTCGGGAGGCTGAAGCTCCAAAGGGTGGAAGAACACTCTCTTCCTCCTCAGGTTCATATCCTTTCCAGGGAGGCCAGACACAGCCATGGAGTCCAGATGCCCAGAGCAGCTGCTGACCCCGTGAATTTGGCTCCATGAGCTGGAGAGGGAGCCGACTCAGGAGCAGAAGGTGTCCTACCCCCCATCCCCTGCTCAGCAGAGGGAGCACTGAGAGGCCCAGGGGTCCACCCTGAAAGGATGCTTTGACCTATAAAACCCCATGTGTCGGCACTGAACCCTCCCAGAACCTGACCAGTGCTTGCCCTCTAGGAGTGGACCTTCTAGGGTTGGCCTGTTCCAGTGCTCGGAGAGTCCGCTACGGTGACAGCCACCTCATGCATAAGGCAAAACAGTCAGTCACTCAGACTTTAGGTATTTATGGCAAAGTGGGACAAAAAGGCCTCAGAGCTCTAGCTTTCACCCAGACTGGCATTCCAGGCATCTAACTGAGCACAGACTGGGGCCCAAAGGATTAGACTGAGCTACAGGAGCAGCTGGTGGGGACCCACTGCAGCAGGGGGCCAGGGCTGGCCAGGCAGGGGTGTGGTGAGCAGATGGAAGAAGAAGAGTCTGCAAGCATGAAAAAAAGTAAATTTGGAGTCAGGAGTCCAAGGATGGAATTTCACTTGACATTGGTTGAAACTACCAGGGCCCAGACACAAAAACAAAAACAAACCAGCAGAGTTCTCTTAACAGCCTCTTCTCTGTTCCATGGGGAAGGAGTATGGCCCGTGCCATGCACCCCTCTGTTCCAGATTTAACTAGTGCCCACGTTTAACAGAGGAGACCCTGTACCTTGTGAAATAACTAGCAACAAATGGTTGAATTAACGCCTCGCGCAGAGGAGGCCGTTAATTTAGCAGGGCAGCTTTGTCGGGCCAGGAGGCTGGGGGGTGGTGGGTGGTGGGTGGCAGCCAGTTTCCCCTTTGGCAGGGCCTCCAGGAGCAATGCTAGCCCAGGCTGGCACAACACCAACTGGGTCCAAGCAGCTGCCAGAGACGAGTGTCTTGATGAATCATCATGGCATTCAGAAGCGCAGGAACATGATGACATGGGGGAAAGACAGCACGGTGGGGGCGCATGGGACTGCTACGGGTACTTGTAATTCTCGTGCGGGGGGACCTTGGAGCCCCCTCACGGACACAGAGCCACAAGCTGTATGGGAACATCCGGCCCCCGCCCCGCCCACGCGCTCCTGGCAGACACCGGTCATCTGCGCCACCATCCAGGTCTCGGCTGACCCTGGAGCCTCCTGTCTAGACACCCTGACTGACTCCACTCTGGCACCCAGCAATCAGTCCTTCACAGAGTTAGCATAATTTTCTTAAAACCCTAAGTCTGATAGGTCACTCCTCTGCTCCCAGTGCTCCAGAGGCTTCCAGTCAAAGTGAAAATAAAATCCACATTCTTTACCCTTTTTCTTTAGAAGCTGTCTTAGCTTCTAAGCTAAGGGCTCGGGCTGCTATAACAAAATACCAGAGATTGGATGGCTTATAAACAACAGCAATGTATTTCTTCCTGTTCTGGAGGCTGCAAAGTCCAAGCTCAGTACTTGGGCACATCCAGCGTCTGGTGGGAGCCGCTTTCTGGTTCGTAGACAGGTGTTCTCCTGCTGTGTCCTCATGTAGGGACGGGGCCGAGGGCTCTGTGTGGCCTCTTTTGTGAGGCCGCTGATCCCAGTCACGAGGGCACCACCCTCATGACCTAATCACCTCCCAAGGGCCCCTCCTCCTAATACCATCACCTTGGGGGTTAGAATCTCAACGTGTGAGTCCTAGGGGCACTCAAACCCTCCGTCCTTAGTGGAAGCCCTGTGTAATCTGGCTCATACTACCCATCCCCCCAACCCCATTGCTCTGCTGTCCCCGACTCTGACGTCACTCCAACCACACCGGCCGCCTTTCCCGCCTAGAACACACGTACCTTCCCTCCAAGGCCCTGGAGCTGCCTGATGCCTTTGTTCATAGAGCTCTCCCCGACGGGGTCTCCTGACGCACTCCTTCCTCAGACTTACTCCCACTTAGAAGTCACCCCGAGAGAGGGCTTCCTGGGCCACCCAAATCCATGAAGCCACCTGGTCACTCTCTACATTTTAATTAATTCAGCCTTCTATGGCTGATACATATATATAGGTTGATTTTTTTTTTTTTTTAACAGCTTAAAGCAAACATTTATTATCTCACGGTTTCCACAGATCTCTGCTCGGGGTCTCACAAAACGGCAGTCGAGGTGTCAACCGGGGCTGGGGTCCCCTCCAAGCCCGGGGTCCTCTTCTGGGGTCATGGTGTGGTCAGTGGGATTCAGTTCCGGGCTG